ACCGAGCTGCCGCTGTTGGCCTCAGACGTACCGTCCAAACGCGGGAGCCCGGCGCCCGAGCCGCACGCAGCCGAGCCTGCGCTTGTCGCTGAGTGCTGTGCTCAGCCTTGTGCTGCGCTCGTCGCTGAGTGCTGGCAGGCTGGAGCCAGCCGTGGCACTGGGAGGTCCACGTAAAATGTAATGTTGTTAAAGATTTATAATAGGGGTGCCTGGGTGGCACAGTGCGTTAAGCGCCCGACTCTTGGTTTTGGCTCAGGTCCAGATCTCAGGGTCTTGAGGTCAAGCCCCGAGTCAGACTGCGCTCAGTGTGGAGTCAGCTTGAGATTCTCTCTCCTTCTCCCTCTGCCCCTCCCACTCATGCACACTTAAAATAAATCTTAAAAAAAAATTTATAATGAAAATGGGTAACTACACACACACACACACACACACACACAATTAAAACTCAGTATACCACAACTGGTTGTTTAGACTTAGACCAACAAGAAAGGTTTTTTCCTGGATGGTGCATTTATCACTTAGAACATTTAGAAAGTTTTGATTTAGTTTTATTATTATTTCAAAATCCTCTACAGAAAAGGCAACCCCATATTACCTGCAGCAGGGCCAAGCTCCCACCACGCAGCCATTGGTATCATGGTGGGAGGAGGCTGTGGGATGATGGACGGAACATGAAGGACTGAGATGAGGAACTGACTCTTGCAGCAAACCACACCTCATGCAGATTCTGGATGGACAGAACTTCGAGGGGTGACTGTCTTAACCCCAGGACCTCAGGGCGTGAGCTGTAAGATCCTCAGTGCAGCAGGTGATCCTTGTGCCCCGTGCATGGCTTATAGGGGATGGAGTGTGGTGGGCTGCCGTCAGAGTGGCCGGGCCCATGGAGGGAACCCCTGCTCTGGGGCTCACCTCTCTTCCTTGACAAAAGGCAGCAAAATGAGCTCGCTGGCTTCTGCTCTCACCCAACTGCCCTGGATTCCTCGTTGGTGCTGATCTCCGCTTCAGACTGATAGCCAGAAGATTGAAGATCACGTTCCAGTTCTACAACTAACTAGGTGACTTTGGGCAAGTCATCAAAAACTCCTTGAGCCCGTTTCTCTGTCAAATAAACCTGAGGTCTGCCTGTTGACCTCACAGGACTGAGGTGGGAAGTGAACAGAGTCACAGAAATGAAGCAGCGTGGCCAGCTACTGCGGGGAGGGGTGTCCTCAAACCTGAGTGTGTTTCAGAACCACGGGGCGGGGTGGGGGGGGGCTTGCTAAAACACACACTGCTGGGCTCCGCCCTCCCTCCTCTCCTCACAGAGTTTGGATCCTGCTGATGTGGGGCAGGACCCAGAATTCCCATTCCTAACAAGCTCCCAGGTGATGTTTTTGCAGCTGGTCTGAGGGCCCCACTGTGAGAACCGTGACTTAGGTTTACCAGGATGGGTGCTGGACGGGGTCGGAGTCCTGGCCACAGCCCTGCCTGTCCTCACGGCTGCAGGCAAAGTACTTGATCAGTCGAAATCTCGGCTTTCTTGTCGGTAAACGGGATGACTTTAGTACGTGCAGATCAGATAGAGCTGTGTGTATATAGTACTTAGCACGGTGCCTGGGACATCGTGCCGGCCTCCTGAACGTCCCTTCTGACTGTGTACAGTGATTCCGTGGTGTCTGCACACAGCAGGGTGCTAATAAACAAATGTGCTACTTCTGAAGCAAGGGACGGCTTCAGACTGTTATCTATCCCAAATTACACATTTTGGGAACTCCTAATGTGTTTTACAGAAGCATGTTACAGACTGGTAGAAATTTTGACTCAAAAAATACAATTTGCAGGAAAAATGTAAATTGGAATTACAAGGACACAGTTTGAATGTATTATTTATCATGTGTTCCTGTGTTGATCTGTAATTATCTTCTAGGTCAGAAGTTCCTAGGATTTTGGCCTCAGGACTCTTTGGACTTTTGAAAGTTATTGAAGGCCTTGAGGAATTTTTTTGTAGGTTATGACTATTGATATTTACCGCATGCAACATAAAATGGAGAAAATTTTTAAATTACTCATTGAAACAATAAACCCATTTCAAGTTAATATCAGTTATCTTATTAAAAATAACTATATCCCGGCGCCTGGGTGGCTCCGTCGTTAAGCGGCTGCCTTCCGCTTAGGTCATGATCCCAGGGTCCTGGGATCGAGCCCTGCATTGGGGTCCCTGCTCAGTGGGAAGCCTGCTTCTCCCTCTCTCACTCCCCTTGCTTGTGTTCTCTCTCTCGCTATGTCTCTCTCTGTCATATAAATAAACAAAATCTTTAAAAATAAAAATAAAAATAACCATATCCCTCACCCCCAAAGTGAGAAGAGTAGCATTGATTTACCTTTTGCAAATGTCGGTAATGTCTGGCCTAGAGGACATGCCTCTCTTCTTCTCCTTTAGATTTACTGCTTTCTGCATGCATGTGTAACTCAAGGAGTACATGTTTTCATTTTCATTTTTAGATTTATAAGAAGGATGTCCTATCTCCACTCGGGGACTTGCTTTATTCACTTACTATCATATTGCTAATAATTATCCGTAATTGTGTGTGTCAGTGAAACTTAGTTCACTCATTTTGAGTGCTGTCGAGTCTCATCACTTTCTGGGTCAGTGCTCAGTACCGTATTGAGAATGAGCCAGTGTTTGCCGGGATAGGTAAAGTCACATACACTTGGAGCCAGAGATTAAGATAGAAAAGATTTTCAGACGAGTAACTGGTTAATGAAACACTGGAAGAAACAGTTTTGGAATTACAGAAAGCCGCATGGGCGATTTTCTTACCATACTCAGATAATTCTAACCTACAATTTTACAGGGATGATGAGTGCCCTGTGATAAAGGACCACAGCCAGCCACTTTACATGGAAAAGCAAGTCCCAAGTGGGTCTGAGCCCAGGATCAAGCCAGTGGGAGGGGCAGCAGCTGTGGGCCGAACTCTGACAGGGGCCCAGCCTCCTTCCTCCTCAGGGGAACACTGTGAGTGCAGCTGTGTCTATAATCTGTACTACTGTCAACATTTCAGAGTGGACTGACCATCCCAGCTCACAGTTTTAGAGTGAAGACTTCTGCTTTTGGCCCACTACCCTGATCTACTTCCACTCAGCCTCCTAACCTGCAACCAGGTCTTCCGGTGCCATCTGTGTCCATAACTGAACCTGTCGTCACCTGGAAAGGATGGGCTAGTGATGTCTCTGAAGAAAGCAAGTCTAGAAATAAATTGTCCAAGGTCTAGCCTGAGCTCACTCAGAGGCCCATGGCGCTCCAAGGCCTTGAGTAAAGACAGAACGAACTGCAGTAGAAAGAGGGGCTGCGGTCATCCCCAGAGCCGTGGCCAGGGCATCTCTGGGTTTCATAGCTACATGAGAAGAGATAGCATGATCAATCATTAATGATTTTTAAGGACAATTTTTAAATTATTTTTTAAGCTTATTTATTTTTTTAGTAATCTCTACACCAAAAATGGGGCTCGAACTCATAACCCAGAGATCAAGAAGCCCATGCTCTTCCAACTGAGCCAGCCAGGTGCCCCCAGGACAATTTTTTTTTAAGAAGCTATCTTGAAGTGCAATAAAAATAGGAATGAGGAATGGACTTTAGCCAATTTAAATTTAAATGAGGAAAGTTGAAATTTTTTAAATGGATGTCCTTTGAGTTCACAGACAAGCACACACCTGACCACAGCAAGGTCTGTCTCCCCTTTGCTGTTCCTTCTTCCTTCGCTCTGCCTAATGCATGAGAACGAACTTTCTGTCCTTCAAAACCGTGTCCCGGACCCCCCACGCAGCCTCACTGTCCGCCCCGCACTTCTCAAACTGGTGGCTTTGCACTGTCGTCTCCTCGTTCACGTGCCCATCTCGGCGGTTCCTCTCGGTGCTCAGACTGTCTTACTCCACCGTGCATTCCCCGGGCTTGGGCAGCGCGCAGTAGGTGTTCGGTAAGGTTTGCCCAACTGAACACCTAGAGAAAATTAAAGTCGTTTAAAGTTAATTTGAAAAGCAATTCTTGCCAGTGGACAGGACTTTTCAAAGTTGTTTTGCTTACAGAGCAAAAAGTCAAATATCGGGCAGAATTCTAACAAATCGCCTTTACGACTAAATTTTCTCCCTGGTTCCCAGTGCATTAGGTTTTGACACCCTGGGGTCACGCACCCACGTGGGTGAAGCGCTCCCCTTCCCTCCGGCCCCGGCTCTCTTTTTCATCGCGGAATGCCAGTCCTTCCGGCCTCTACGACAGTTAGGAGGCAAGCACCTATTTCTTTGGTTGGACAGCCCCGACTGCACACAAGGGGCCCGGGATAGCCCCCCAAACCGCTGCGAGGCCGAGGAGGGGCGAGAGGAGGGGCGAGAGGAGGGGCCTCTAGCGGTCCCTCCCGCCCACACCGCCCAGACCCCGCCCCTCGCGCGGCTCCTCCCCAGACCCCGCCCGCCACAGGCACGGTCCCGCCCCTCATTCAGCCCCCGTCCCGCCCACGTAGCCCTGGCCCCGCCCCTCGCCCGGCCCTACCCCGACCCTACCGCCCAGACCCGTCCCTTCACGAGGCACCTCCCCTCCGATACCGCCCTGGCCCCGCCCCTCGCCCGGCCCTACCCGCCCCTACCGCCCAGACCCCTCCCTTCACGAGGCACCTCCCCTCCCATACCGCCCTGGCCCCGCCCCTCGCCCGGCCCTACCCCGACCCTACCGCCCAGACCCCTCCCTTCACGAGGCACCTCCCCTCCCATACCGCCCAGGCCCCGCCCCCCACGCAGCACCTCGCTGCCTACACCGCCCAGACCCCGCCCCCGGGGACCGCCCCGCCCCCACGGCCCAGACCCCCGCCCCTCACGCGGGCCCTCCCCTCCGGCCCCGCCCTAGCCCCCACCCACCTCCGTAGGTGCCGCCCCTCCCGGGACCGCCCAGGGCCGACGTTCTCCCATCCGGGAAATTGAGCCGGAAAAGCGCGGGGCGCTAGGCCCCTGGGCCCCGCCCCGCAGGCGTTGCGGGGACGCGCGTCATTTCCTCCGCGCCGCCGCCGGAAGTTGGGTCTGTGTGGTGGTGGTGGCGGCGGGAGCCGGGGAGTTACGGCGCTGGGCGATGGCCGGCTGCGAGCGATGACCAGGCTTCTGGCCGTGGCGCGCAGGGTTGCTTTGGCCGCCGTGCGCTGCAGCACCCACGGCAGCAGCGGCCTCAGCATGTTTTATGCCGTGAGGAGGGGCCGCAAGGCCGGGGTCTTCCAGACCTGGTGAGTGGGCTGCTACTCCCCAAGGCCGAGGGCGGGGCGGCCGCAGGCGGCTCTCCGGACTGGGCCGGAGCTCGCGGCTGGCGGCCTGGGGTGGAGCGCGTGGGAGCCCCGCCGCCGGCCGGGCAGTGGGGACGCCGGGCCGGCCGCCGCGGGTCTCCGCTGACGTGGGCTTGCGGGTCCCGTGCGCGGGCTCCAGTTGGCAGGATCAGAAATGCCACGTGTAGTTTAAGGGGGGCCGGGGCCTCACTTAATCCTTCCTTTCTTGAAACAGAAAGAATTTCCAAATGGTTACACATAGTAAACTCGGATACTACCTAAGCCAGGCTGCCCTGTGTTTTTAAAAAGGGAAGCTCTTGTAAGCTAAGTCTGGGTCCCCGTGACGGTCCTCTGAGGTGGGATTATTGTCTTCAGGGGTAGTTACTGCGGTCGGGACGTTCCTGGGGTTAGTAAGTGACGCAGGTAGGACTTGCATCCGCGCGCTCGGACTCCACGAGCGGGACCGTCCCCGCCGCACGTAGCAGGGTTTGTTATCCGTGTGTGGGCGGGCACTTGTTCCCCTTCGTAGCTACGGGGCTGCGGCGGAGGCATCTCAGAAGCTCACCTTCGCTGTAATGAAATGGTCGATGGGATTTCCTTTTTCAAAGACCCCGAATTTCTGGTGTGTTTTCAGACCGAGGGAACTGACACGCTGGCGTCCTGTCTGGCTGGTACATAGCGCCACAGGGTGAAGGCTTGGGCAGGGCACAAAATTGCAAACAGCCCTGACCGTTTGTCCAGTTGGCGCTGACAGCCCCAACCTTTTCACGCTATTCCCAGCCTAGGAAAGGAATCTGTTAAAAAGAGGACCGCCAAGGGAGGAAGGAAGTAACCCCGCACTCTGTTCCAGGAGCGAATGTAGAGCCCAGGTGGACCGGTTTCCTGCTGCCAGATTTAAGAAATTTGCCACGGAGGAGGAGGCCTGGGCCTTTGTCAGGAAGCCTGCAAGCCCGGATGGCTCAGAAGGTAGTCAGCTGCTCTCGTCACCATGGCGTTTTAACCTGCTCAAAACCTTGCATACCCCAGCGCCGCTTGGTCTGTACAGCTGTCTTCTAAGCAGGAGATGTGATGATCGTTCCCACTTTTCTATTTTACAGATGAGGAAACAGGCAGGGAGTAGTTGAGCTTCATGGTTTAGCTTAGTGGTTTCTGTTAGTAACAGTATTAGACATAAGCTGGGACTCCAATCTGATGTTCATTTGGAGTCCTCACTCTATTTAATTCTGTTTTATTTATTTTCATTTTTTGTTATTAAATGTATTTTTTAATATTTTATTTGTCAGAGAGCGAGCGCACAAGCAGGGGGAGAAGCCCCAGACATGGGGCTCCATCCCAAGACCCTGGGATCATGACCTGAGCCGAAGGCAGATGCTCAACCAGCTGAGCCACCGAGGGGCCCCTCATTCTATCTTTTAAAAAATACTTGTTCTGTTATCAAATTGAATGGGCTACAGTTTCAAAGTGTTGAATGTAGTTTGTTTCCTGGCATGCACCTGTATGGTGTTTCCTTCTTTTTTAGGACAGGGTCACACAATCAGAATTTCCTACAGTTTCACATGTTGCAGAAGGTATAATTAATTGAAGCTTAAGTCCCAGTATAAGGAATATCAAGTATGCAGAACTAAGGGTGACTGCTTGAGAGCACAGAATTTTTAAAATACAGTTAACCCTTGAACAACAATGAGTTTGAGCTGCATGGGTAAACTTATATGTGGACTTCATTATATTACATTTATCATATAATATACATTTATTATAAATTTTCTTTAGGATTTTTTTTTAAGATTTTATTCGTCGGGGAGAGAGAGAGTGAGCACAAGTGGGGAGAGGGACAGGCAGAGGGAGAAGCAGTCTCCCTGCCAAGCAAGGAGCCTGATGTAGGATTCGATCCCAGGACCCTGGGATCATGACCTGAGCCAAAGGCAGATGCCCAACCGACTGAGCCACCCAGGTGTCCTTCCTTAGGATTTTAACATTTTCTTTTCTTTTTTTTTAAGAGTTTTATTTATTTATTTGAGAGAGAGACAGAGAGCACAAGCATGAGCGGGGAGGTAGGGGGAGGAGCAGAGGGAGAAGGAGAAGCAGACTCCCTGCTGAGCAGAGAGCCCAATATGGCTCGATCTCAGGACTCCAGGATCATGACCTGAGCCAAAGGCAGACAACTTAACCAACTGAGCCACTCAGGTGCCCCTTAATAACATTTTCTATTCTCTATTACTTTATTATAAGACTGCAGTACATAAAGACATACATAAAATATGTGTGAATCAACTGTTCACATCAGTAAGACTTCCAGTTAACAGTAGGCTATCAGTAGTAGTTAAGTGTTTAGGGAATCAGAGATTGTACTCAGATTTTTCAACTGACCAGGGCGTCAGACCCCCACCTTGTTTGGGGGCAAACTATATATCTTAACCTATTTTGAAGAAGTTGTGTCTCATTAGCTTTACTCACAAATATTTTTACTAGTGGATTAAGATGAGACAATAGTTTGAGTCCACTTTTTTTGAGCAGGCTCTCTACAATCCCACTGAGATGCTCAAGCTTTGAACACCTGCTCCTTTGGGAGGCCGTAACAACTGCAGTCAAAGCAGAATTCAGGGAGAGGCAATCACGCTTAGGAATCTACCCTGCATGACAAGTTTCTGAAGCAGGGCAGAACCTCACTCACTGTGCATCTGCTTCACCCTGTCTCCCAAGCAGCTTTTAAGGAAGTTGTGATGTGACCATTATATTTTCTGCCCTGATGGAGAAATCAGTTTGGGACAGAAAACAAATGTGCAAGTATGGCTCTTGTCTTAGTTGGGTTCTTAATGCTTCCTTTTCACTGCTCTTTTGTTTTAACCAAATAGTAATTTATTTATACTTCAATTCTTCCAACAGAAGAATAGAAGTATGTTTCTGTTTATTAAATACTCTAAATCCTAAGGCAAGATAGTTCTTTATATCTATGAATCACCTTTCTTAAAAGTTTGCAGAGACCTCCAAGTTACTGACTTATATATATAAACTGGAATTTGACATCTTTAATGTTCAAGAACTCTGTCAAAGCAGAAGTGTTAGCCCCTTTCCCAAATTTTCTCTTAATCTGAGATATATTTTTATTTTGTGATTCTTGAGCTATTTGGCAGTTATCATGATTTATGTAAACTGATTTGGGGTTAACTTAACCAAGTTTTGTGAACGGAAAATTATCTGACAGCTATGGGCTCCTTTTCCTTCCAAGTCTTATCTGTCCTTTAAAAACTTTCATTCCAATTTAACTTTCTCTGTTACTACAAGTAAAATCAATATTTGTATTGATATTAAACTTCTACAAAATTACCCTTTGACTTATACTTGTGTTTTTGGGTTTACTTATGTAAAGTCCCTAGAGGAATATTTTTTTTTTAAAGATTTTATTTATTTACTTGAGATAGAGTGAGAGAGAGAGAGAGAGAGAGCGCACAAGCAGGGGGAGTGGGAGAGGGAGAGGCAGGCTCTCCACCGATCAGGGAACCTGACGCAGGACTCCATCCCAGGACCCTGGGATCATAACCTGAGCCAAAGGTAGTCGCTTAATCCATTGAGCCACCCAGGCGCCCCCCTAGAGGAATATTTTAAAGGTAAATACAGCAGAGTGGAAAACCAAACATTGCTCTCCATAATGGCTTCACTCAGATTTTGCTTAGATAACCTTTAGCAGTCTTCTGACAGGTGTGGGTGGAGAAGCTACTCCAGGCAGGACATTCTGGCTTGGACCCAAGTGGTAGGTGTTCAGTCAACGTTGGAGCCCCATTTCTCCATCCCTGCTTCAGGGATGAGGTTAAAGTGAACTCTGTAGTGTTGGGCTTTGTTGTTCTTTTGGAAATACAATTAGTTGCTCCTTCTGTGCCCCTATTCCCACTCCATAAAATGAGAATGTAGGAAAAGCTGCTCCCACATAACCTGAGAGAGTGTGTGAGAAGCCTTTGGGATTAATCCTGCGTCCCCAGGCTGAGCTCCTGAAGGAAAGCTCTGCAGCTACCGCCCTGAAGGAACCCAGTCCCTTCTGCTCTTCGGTTTCTACTTTCCTTTCTCAGTGTAGCCCACTGTCGGTTTACTTAAGGTCCAGTTACCCGTGCCCTCTCAACTTCCCTGGAGGTTCTCGACTTGGCATTGATGGAGTTGAAGTATCTAGAGTAGTAGTAGCTACAAAATTCTAGTCCTTGTTTTCTTTCTGGGTTAAGAGTCCCTTAGATTGTCAAACTGCCCACCATCCCTGTAGGATTCAAAACCTTTGGTATCTCTACTATCTCTGTCAAAAGCAGACTTCTACTTTAATAGAAATGTTGTTTTGTCTTCATATTGCCCTTAATCAAGCTTATGGAAAATTTAGAGTAATTTCATAGAACATCAAAATCTGACACGGTGTGGACTGTCTTAAGTCATATCCTCTATAGGGTCACAGACAAAGCGTGTGTAAGTCTGATTTAGTGATACTAAATCACTTACTGAATTTCTGGATTCTTAAGCATTTCATGTTATGTTTGTTTTTTCCTGGTTTATGAGTAGACTCGATCTTTCAGGGACAGAAAATAAGCATGAACAAGAATCACAGGTGAAAGTCAACAAGCGACTCCGTGAACCCTCAGATGGAGAGGAAAACGCAGAGCCCTGTGTGAAGCATGCGAGACAGAACACAGAATCCGTGCCTTCAGTTAACAAAGACTCGTTTTCTTATATGGGTATATCTCTCTTGGATTTTTAAGTTTTCCATATAATAATCGTGAAAATAAGTGTAAGAACGTTTCCCACTTAATAGGGGAAAGTTGAGCTAATGTTTAGCCTTTTCATTCTCATCTGAAAAGGTTATTTAAAAATTTCTAAGGTTACTATTTTATAGTTGATCAAACTGTGCAGAATTATTAAAACTTTGGATGTTCATCAGAAAAGCATTATGTGGCCTACAAATGAAAAACCGTAATCTTTTGAAACCCTAGTATTCTCTCGTGCACACAGCATTTCAGGTCACTATGAGAAAATGCAGAGGCTTCAGCTTCTTCAAATAAGAAAGGGCCTGGAGGGCGCCTGGGGTGCTCAGTTGGCTAGGCATCTGGCTCTTGGTTTGTGCTCAGGTCCTGATCTCAGGGTCAAGCCCCCATGTCAGGCTCTGTGCTCAGCAGGGAGTCTGCTTCCCCCTCACCCTCTGCCCCTCCCCTGCACATGTGCTCAAGTGCTCTCTTTCTCTCTCTCAAGTGGATAAATAAATCTTTAAAAAGAAGTAAGGGCCGGACAGAGCTCTTTTTTAGAACCAGTATCTTAATACCATTTACATTTAGCCTTTGCAAAACATAAATGATTTTACCTAGTCCTGAGAAGCAAAAGAGTCTGAATTTTTCCTCTACCTTTAACTCCAGGGATCGGTTTATATTTAATTACTTATGTTATATAAATTTCCTTTTTGTTTTTTACACGTATGAACAGAAAATAGGAGTAAGTAGCTTTTTTTTTTTTTTTTTTTTAGTAAGTAGGATTTTTATATAAATCAGTGTGTTTGTAGGTTCCAAGTTTTCTCCAAGAATAAGCTGTCTTATAATTCAGGGAAAACCAATAGGAAATGTTTTTTGTTAAGCTGTATTAAAACTGTATAAATCAATTTTGCAGTTATGTAAAAAAAAAAAAACCAAATGTTCTGGATTTGGTTACTTGCCAGTAGTAATCAGAGCACATATGTGGGGAGTGATTGGGTGATGAGCCGTTTCCAAGGTACTAACAGTGGCTTGAAGTACAGTGGCATTTAACGCAGTGCCTGATAGGTTGAGACCGAATTCAGTGACCAGAAAGGCTGTTGTGTGGATGGTGTCAATTTCGGTTGAACCAAGGATTCTTGTCCAACACCCATGTTTTTCCACACTCCCATCCCCATTCTGGCTAGGAACATGTTCTTCCTTTAACATCCTCCCTCCTCTTCCCTTTGCCTCTGCCTTGTCCAGTCTATAATCCTTTTGAGAAACAGTGCAAAGCAAAGCCTCTATTTGCCCCCATGGCCCTACTCTTCAAGATCTGCCAACCTGACTTCTCCTGCCCCCCTGCTAAGAGTGTTCTAGTCATCAGTGGCCTTAGAGTGGCCTCATATCAGATCTCTTCTACCTACTTCTTTACAGCATTGTTATGTTGGTCAGACCCTCTTTTTTTTTTAAGATTTATTTATTTGACGGGGAGAGAGAGTACAAGCAGGGGGAGCAGCAGAGGGAGAGGGAGAAACAGGGTCCCTGCTCAGCAGGGAGCCCGACTGGGGGCGGGGGGGGGGGGGCGGCTGGCTCCATCCCAGGACCCTGGGATCATGACCTGAGCCAAAGGCACACGCTTAACCGACTGAGCAACCAAGGTGCCCCTGACCCTCTGTCTTGACGGAAAGAAGCAAAGACAAAAATTAGACCAACATTTGTCAGAGAACTAGACCTTCTGGCGGACAGGTCCTTATCACGCCAAGGCACTGCTTGTTTGCCAGGACAGCTCCTGGGAGTGAGTGTGAGCCCTGCCCCCCACGGGGAGAGGGGTAGTGGCACCGTTCTGACCTCTGTAGTGGGGGAGGCAGCAGCAGCTCTCGCTGCAGGGGGTTCTAGGTTCACAAAAGACTGCCTTTACCCTTAATTTGCCTGTCATGCAGAACCAAAATAGGAGTGCATGCTAATGAGAAAGGGTCGAGGGCCCCTGTGTAAGGAATCGGTAATGTTTTCCATTGCACAGTACTTTGTCAGTTTAAAATGTGAATGTGGGCTTACTGAACTGGGTGCTTTGGATGCAGTGGCACTCAGGAAGTCCCATTTTCCAGGAGATTTTGTCGTCGTCTACACTGACGGCTGCTGCTCCAGCAACGGGCGGAGGAGGGCACGAGCAGGGATCGGCGTTTACTGGGGGCCGGGCCATCCTTTGTGAGTAAACGAAGTGAATCGCATTCTAAAGCTTGTCAAGGAATGAGGCAAGGTCTGCTGACTGTTTGGTTAGCTTTGGCAGAGGGAGCGCAGGACCGAGTCATGTCGACACTGACAGCTTTGTTCTTCAGGATTAAAAGACCCCGGCATTGCTTTCTTCACCCTGAATCTTGATGAGTCTCTGTGTCCCGCTGATGACATCTTCTACCAGAATGACTTCCCTGCCCCCTAGGAGAGTCACATGTCTCCTGTGGGATGGTTTTGGCAAGGATGTCCAAGGTCACCAGGCCTGGAACCCGTCATGTCCCCATGATTCTTCTGAGGACGTGTGAGCTTAGAGGCGACTCCTAGTTTTTCACCAGGCACAAGGCCAGGGTGATGCAAAGTGTGATCATTCAGATACACTGGGCAGCCTAAAAATCAGTGTAAAAGAGGGATCTGAGTCTGTGAAGTAGCCACATCAGTTCTGAGCTTTGTCTCCAGCATTTGCAGGTGCCCACAGCACTGTTGGGTATAATGTAACATAAACTGTTCAGTACAGTAAGACTATATTTCTCTTGACTTGTGGTCTACAAAGTCCTTTCCCTTTGATACCTCATTTTAGCTTCAAACGCTGTAAGAGGTGGCAAGCTTGTGTGGCACTGAGTGTCTGTGGGCTTAGTGCTCACCCAAGACCACACGCTGATGTATTTCAGGGCCAGAAATAAAAGTTTGCATTTGAATTCTGGCCCAGTATTCTTCACAAGACCATCCCATGGTGCTTTTCCATAAAACGTTAGTGCTCTTGGTTTGATTTTTAAAGGCTGTATTTTTGTATGATGCTTTCATATGTCAAAAAAGTGTATCAAGCCTATCGTCCGTTGAGAAGCTTAAGGAATCACTTTGAGAATTAGCTCTTTTAATTGATTTCATTTTCCTTTTTACGATCCCAGGAACGTAGGCATTAGGCTTCCCGGGCGGCAGACCAACCAAAGAGCAGAAATTCATGTAAGTTGTCAGACACATTTCCCACTGAGAGTAAGTCCATCATAGCAGTGAACTGGGTACTTTCTGTGTGCAAAAGATACTCAGAGTCCAGAAGAAACTTGGTTTGGGGTTACTAATGACTCTGACGAATAGGAATTTTCCAGAAAAATTTTAAAAGTAACTTCAAATAGGTGTGCAAGCAGAACTATGTGTGTAGCATTATTTCACACAGAGCATATAATCGTTACAGTTAGCTCAGAAAAAAAATGTTTAAATGGTGAAGTGATTTTGAACATCCGTAACGTTGAAAGTTGAACAGTTTCTATAGCATGATGACTGACTCGTCGTTTCTTCAAGGCAGCCTGCAAAGCCATCGAGCAAGCAAAGGCTCAAAATATCAAGAAGTTGGTTCTGTATACGGACAGTATGTTTACTATAAATGGTAAGTTTTTACATTTTACTTCTTCTAGTGTTTTTCTAGTAAACATGAAGGAAAATAGGTATTTCCTTTCCCTGTAGGAAGTATTGTATCAGGGAAGGACCCAAATGGTAAATGAGGACAGCAGTTGGTTTGTCGGGTATAAAGAGAAGGCTGGGGATTCTGGAGCTCAGTTCTGCTGCTCTGGAGTTTGCCACATAGACATGTCTTTGCCAGGCTCCTAAGATAGGGCAGCAAGATAGATATGTCCCTGCTCTCGTGGTCCTTCGAGTGTAAACATGCGTAAGTAACTTAAGGTGGCGTGCTGATGGCTCCTTTGAGAAATAATCATGTTTAGGACACGGGGAGGGGGTTGAAGAGGCGGAGGATGCGTCCTCTTAGGCTGGGAGCTGTGGGTCAACACCAGTCCGAGCAAAGGGACAAGCAGAGTGTGCCAGGTCTGTACCTCCTGTCAGAGTACAGCCTTTGTGGGCCAGTGGCAGGTCCACACACCACCATGAAGATGAGTAGAGTGGGTAGAAGAGGGAAGGCTAGGGAGGAAGAGACCAGGACATTCAAGCTCAGTGGGCTGTGAGTGTGCATTTCTTGTAGGTATCACTAATTGGGTTCAAGGCTGGAAGAAGAATGGGTGGAAAACGAGCACAGGGAAAGAGGTGATCAACAAGGAGGACTTCATGGCGCTGGAGCAGCTCATCCAGGGCATGGACATCCAGTGGGTGCGTGTTGTCTGAACCAGTCCTGTCACATGGCTGTGAGGACCAAATACTCTGAGAGGGGGGAGAGAGAGAAGGTGGGGGAGGGGGGGCAGCAGAGAGAGAATCTCAAGCAGGCCCCCCACCCGGTGTGGAGCCCAGTGTGAGGCTCTGTGTAGCCACCCTGAGATTGTGACCTGAGCCAAAATCAAGAGTTGGATGTTTAACTGACTGAGCCAGCCAGGTGCCCAGGACCAAAGATTCTAAATTAACTGGAGAGATTAGTGCTTTCTGTAAGTGATTTAATGACTTAAAGTAACCATTTACATGAAATTAATATCATAGTGCGTATTAGAAATTGGAACTCATTTGAGTCTTGACTTCGTATAAGTAATGCTGCTTATCGTTGGTGTGATTGTGTGTAGAACACACTGTTGGGGCAGTGTGACTTTAGGGGTGTTCAGGATTCCTCACATTCTCTTGGCAGTGCTTAGGAGTGCCTCGTCTGGGCTCACCTTATTGCAGGATTTCTTTTTCTTTAGTGCCCGCGGTTGTGGTCATGCCACTTTGAAGAATGAAGAGGTAGACCAGATGAAGAGTGGTGGGCAACAAAACAAAGTTTATTGAGTGATAGTACAAAGCTCCTGAAGGGGGCTTGTCCCTGCCCACCTTTCTTCCCACTATCCTTCATTAACCTTATCACTGTTAAAGTGACTTCGTGATAGTCAACCTGTTGGTTTCTTTGGAATCAGCCATAATGTCAAAATAAAACTAATTTATAAGGTATTTTGTTAAAAATGAAGTGTGATAAGACTTTAGTAACATGACTTTTTTTTCCAAAATGGAAATATTTTTCTTATTAATAGATAGTTTTTATTAAAACTGTTTTTTCAGGGAGTGCCTGGGTGGGCTCAGTCAGTTGAGTGTCCGACTCTTGGTTTCGACTGAGGTCATGATCTCAGGGTCCTGGGATTGAGCCCTGTGTTGGGCTCCTGCTGAGCGGGGAGTCATCTTCTCTCCCTCCCACAGCCCCTCCCCCCTGCTCATGCTCTCTCGCTCTGTCTCTGTCAAATAAATAAAATCTTTAAAAAAAAAACTTTTTTCAAACAATACAGAGCAAGTTAAACTGCAACCATTTCTTAACCCTATATTGCTCTTCTGCCTCAGGACCACTGAGAACAGCTTGGTAATGTAAGGTTTAAATCTGTCCTTCAGCAATGTAGATGTAAACAGTGGTTAAATCACAGAAGCACACGCCTGCGTGGCTCAGTAGTTAAGTGTCTGACCCTTGATTGAGATCTCAGGTCTTCCTCTCAGGGTTGTGGGATCAAGCCCCACGTCGGGGCTGTACTGGGTGTAGAGCCTACTTAGTAAAAAAAACAAAAACTAATCACATAAGTATATCTGCTCTTTCTGACAGCACTTAAAGAAAATAAAGTATGTGTGTTGGATATGTATTTGTCCCCATCTATACATACGTATTTTTACCTGGAAAACTTTCCAAGTCCCATCATTAAGGTGGAAAAAATCAATAAAAACAGTACAGTTTGTGGAAAATCAAAATGGGATTTTTGTAAATGCCTGCGTTGCATCAATCCACTGGGCATACATGTTGTGCCATTTAGAACTGTCGGGGGGAGGGGCTTTGGGGGGAGGAGCGTTCTCCCACTCCGCCCACCGGGAAGTTAATGAGGATATACTTGTGTGTTGCTTGTGTAAAAAACCAGTAAAGATAAAAGGGAAAAATATTTATTTAACAGATGCATGTTCCTGGTCATTCGGGATTTATAGGCAATGAAGAAGCTGACAGATTAGCAAGAGAAGGAGCTAAGCAATCAGAAGACTGAACGAAGTAATTTTAATTCTTGGAAAAACTTGAGTGAGTGACTGTTTTCTTACCGTTCCTTACTGGTGTGAAAAATAAAATTTGCAGTAGATGGGCAGATACAACTTGCAAAAGTAAATCAGTCATTCTGTGGTATCCTGTGATAAAAAGTCATTAAATTATAATAAATTGAGCATCCTTCAAGATTTGAGCATTATTTGAAATTTCAGCATTATGCTTTATTGGGTTTGATACTGTTCTCATTAGTTTTATTGTAGTCTGGACAGAAATTTTAGGACTTTGATTTAATAAGGCATGAATACAGTAGTGGTTTAAAAATGCAGACAAGGTCTGGAACCATTCTGAAAGTGTTCATTTATCTTCTAGTTGGCAGGATTGAGTCTCAGAACGTTCAGGTTGACTTGTACATACCTGTGGATTAGAGCAAGGCAGTGCTCCCTTGGTGGCTACAGCCCATGCCAGGGCCCACACCTCAGCCAAGGGAATGTGGGCTGAGTCTTCACAGGCTAGCACCTGTGTACAAGGCAAGCCTGCACATAGCCCTGGCTGCTTGACTGTTGTATAGAAATATCTTACAGAGCAAGATGCATAAATAAATCTTTTAAAATTTCTTTGGCTGTTTTTGTTAAAAGCACTATGCAAGTAGGGGCCCCTGAGTGCCTCAGTCAGTTAAGCGTCCAGCTCTTGATCTCAGCTTAGGTCTTGATCTCAGGGTCATGAGTTCAAGCCCCACATAGGGCTCCATGCTGGGTGTGGAGGAGTCTACTTAAAAAAAAAAAAAAGCACTATGCAAGTTAAAGTTTGATATGATCATTTTTTTTTTTTTTAAAGATTTTATTTATTTATTTTATTAGAGAGCGAGCGAGAAACAGCATGAGAGGAGAGGGTCAGAGGGAGAAGCAGACTCCCCGCCGAGCAGGGAGCCCGATGCGGGACTCGATCCCGGGACTCCAGGACCATGACCTGAGCCGAAGGCAGTCGCTTAACCAACTGAGCCACCCAGGCGCCCGATATGATCATTTTTTTTAAGATTTATTTGAGAAACAGTGAGCGAGAGAGCGCCCAAGGTGGGGGGGTGAGAGTGGGGGGAGAAGCAGACTTCCCCTCTGGGCAGGGAGCCCAATGTGGGGCTCAATCCTAGGGCCCTAGGATCGAGCCGAAGGCAGACACTTTGACCGAGCCATACAGGCGCCCCAATTTTTTTTTTTTTACTACTTTATCATAAAAAGGTACAGAAAATGACACGAATGTTTAGCTCATTGAGTTTCATTATTATAAGGTGAATACCCTTATTGCCACCACTCAGGGCAAGAACTAGAACTTTGCCAGACACCCCAGAAGGCTCTCCATGTGCTCCTCCAACCCCAGCCCCTCTCTCCCTCCAAAGTGAATCCTGACTTTTATAAAAATGACTTCTTTGTGTTTCTTTATGGCACTTGAGCCTTGCCTACTTTTTTTTAGACTTGGTATTTCTGAAGTCTCTTTATTGCATGTATTGGTCTCCTTGTAAGGTTTACCTGTTGAGGAATCTGGGCCATTTGTCCTATTGGTTCCCAGAGTCTAGATTTGCCACATGCATTCTCCTGGCACAGTCCAGCATTTTCTTCTGGCCTCTGTACTTCCTGCAAATTGGCAGCTGGTCCCAGAGGCTTGATCAGAATCAGATTCCACACCTTCGGCGAATGATAGATGGCCACGTGCTTTCATCAGCAGGCATAGACTGCATTTTTATGGAATTGGCGGCTGCTGGAGCTCAGTGCCTAGGTCTGTTAATGATTCGGAGGTTCCAAAATGGTGATATTCTGTGATTTTGCTTATAAAAATAAATATTGGCTGGGATGGTTTTAGAAAAAGACACTTCCTTTCGTCTGCTATTTGGTTACCCAGTGATAGTGTTCCATTTAGGAAAGGCAGGATAAATGCAAAGTAAATCGGTTCCCTGTCATCCTTAGAAGGTGGCCACTTAAGGTTTTTTTATTTATACGTTTTTATAACACTTATGTGTCATGAACTCATCTACTTAAGGCTGTTGGATAGGTTTTAGGTCATTGCAGTTTTTATCTTTATTGATCCCAAGTTGTATCTTCTAGGGCTTGTGGGGAGGGGCTCTTCAGCTTGGCTCTTTCTTTCTTTTGATACTCATGTATGCACACGCATGCGGTGACCACGCCTGTACACAGGTGTACACCGTAGGCTCCCACACATACGTGTACAGACCACGCACGCATGTGCACCCAGTCATCAGTAGCTCCATTGCAGTCTGGTGTGTCAAGGTGCTCTAGACCCTTCTTGGACTTTTCCTGCTCCAGATCTGGAATTGCCTGTTTCTCTAAGAATCTCTAGTTTCTTTCTTTCTTTCTTTTTTTTTTTAAGTTAAGTAAGCTCTACACCCAAGTGGGGCTTGAACTCACGACCCCAAAATCAAGAGTCGCATGCTTCTCTGACCGAGCCAGCCAGATGCCCTAGAATCCCAATTTCTTCTAATGGCAGAAAAGGCGTTTCAAATGCTTGGTGCTGGTCGCTGTGGGGTTGGTCATTGCTTCTAGGGCTTTCCAGTGGACAGAATTATAAAGCATACACACATGTACACACATTTAAAGATAAAATATTTGAGCTCATATTGATATTTCCAGTAGAAACTCAGGATTTCAGAGTCCTTAACTCTTCTGTGTTACGTCTGTGTGTCCTACACTGAGAATCCTGGGATAGGTGCTCCCTAATTATGCTCTTGCTTCATCCCACTGTAACATGCAGTATGTGGGTCCCAATACTAATGTTCTGCTGTGGTGGTGAGACAGCATTGGATGTCCATGGTCCGCCGTCACACAGTAAAATCCCCCCCCTTACCCTCATCTCAGCTCTCTTCTGTGTATTCAGTGGTTACACAACCAGCGTTTGGTCAGTGTCATCTTGGAACCATACTCCCTGAGCTCCCCATGTTGGCCTTAATTTGCTTGCTTTATGTTTGAAATCCGTTTTCTAGGGTATGAAATCCTGGGCTCACATTTTCCTTCCTTGAGTGTCTGAAGTATTTATTTCGGTTTTTTTCCAGCATGAGAAGCCCAAGGAGTCTTTCTTCTTTCTTACAAGTCACGTCCCCTTTTTGCTTCAGTGTCCCGAGGTTTGGTTTCCTGCTTCTCCAGTCCGAAGTTGTGTTAGACTGTGTCGTGTGTTGGTCGCCCTGGGTCAGTGTTTGCAGGAGCACGGTAGGCTCTTTGTGTGTGTACGTTCACATCTGCTATTTCAGGAGCGTTTCCTGAACTGCGGCTTAGTGTTCTGTTTTTCTTGCTTTGGCCTTCTGTTTTGGGGGACCTTAGTATCTCTGTGTTGAAATCTGATTTGTCCATCCTCTGTGTTTTCCACTTTTTCTTGACTGTCTTTCATCTCTTTTTAAGTTTATTTTGTATTTTAAAAGTTGTGCTCCTATTGATGTCCCATCTCTAAAGGCATTATTTGTCTCTGTTTGCTCTTGATTCTCATTTCTGAAATTAATTTTCTTGTCTCTCTAGTTTCCTTGAATTCTGTCACCTTATTTCTGATATTTTCTCATGCCCATGTGTCATCCTCCCATCTTGGATCTTATATTTTGATGATTCGAAGCGGTTAATTTTGGTCTGTTTGGTGGGTACGTCTTTCTGGCATGCCCTCGCTGTATGTAGGGGTGTTTGTTCTGCTCCTTTTTCTTTTGTCTTAGAATAGCTCTCTGTGGGATTGATACTTTACCGTCACTCATTTTCCTAAATGTTCAGTTGAGATAGTTTTTCCTCACTTCACAGAGTTCTCTTTCCTATTGAATTTTGAATCATGGCTAGAAATATAGTGGCTAGTTTCCGGAGCTCTCCCAGCTCTGGCCCTACCGCACCTGCATCGAGTCCTTCTTTCTCTCCACTGTCCCTGTCCTGCTGGTGCTGGCTCTGTCCCCACCACCTGGGTCCCTGCGGGTCAGCTGCGGTGGCTCTTGGGCTCTACGGCTCCAGCCCTCAGACCCTCTTGCAGTGGGTCCCTTGCACCCATTCACCCCCAGGGTAGGGACAGCTGTCCTGCTCCAGCCACTGGCCCTTGGCTGGCCCGCCACACTTGGCAGTGGACACCTGTTGGCCCCTTTGGGGTGTCCTTTCAGGGGTCTGTCAGGGGCCCAGGGGCCCTACTGTGCTTTGCCCCACAGCTGTGCAGGCTGTGGTGGGCAGGCCCTGTCCTTCATTCCCGTGTGTCAGCTTTTTGGAGTCACCATACCATTTTGCTTTTTAACAGCTTTATGGAGGTGTGCTTGACGGACAGCAAATGGCACGTGTGTAAAGTGAGCTATGGATTCCCCTGTGAAGTCCCCGCCAGAACTGCGTGTCACCCCCCACCGGGGTTTTCTCATGCCCCTTTGAAATCCTTCCCTCCCTGACCCCATCCCCAGACGACAACCGATCTACTTCCTGTTACTATAGATTAATTTGTATTTCCTAGGATTTTATATAAATAGAGTCCTACAGTATAAACTCCTTTTCAGTCAGGAGCTTCTTTCACTCAGTGTAATTATTTTGGCATTCACGCGCGCTGTGTCTATCAGTAGTTCACCCCTTTTTATTGCTGAGGAGTATCCATTGTATGGGTAACCACAGTTTGTGCGCCCGTTCTCCTGTTCATGGGTATTTGGTCGTCCCCGGTGTGGGGCTGTTGTAAATAAAGCTGCTGTGAACATGTATGTACTCGTCTTTTCCTGAACATGTGCTTTTATTTCTCTTGAGGGGAGTGGCTGGGTCACATGGCAGGTGTGTATTCGACTTTAAGAAACACCAGTCAACATCTTTTGCCATTTTTCTTTCCCATCAACAGGGCAGGAGAGTTCCAGTGTGCTCCCCATCCCTGTCAGTGGTCCTTGTCACCTAGGTTTGTTACAGACGTCTGCGGTTCTGTTTCAGGTGAAGGTTTGGGAGGATCTAAAAGTGCTCTTACTGTTGCCACTACCCTCCAAAAATCTGATTTTTTTTTAATTGGGCAGTTCCTCTTTATGTGCCCAAGATTGGAAGTACAGAGTTGAAAGATTGTGCCTTCCAAAACTTTCCAGTGTACTAGGGGATTTGCACCAATGCAAGTAATATCCATACAGAACAGGAAGTGCATGGTGCTTGAGGTAAGATGAAGCCCAGCCACTTTTAGTGAGAAGGGGAATAATAAAGGTACAGGAAACTCCTTCTTACTAACAGAAAACATCTTACTGATTATGTAAAACCAGCAGCATTGGAGCGTCCAGGTGGCTCAGTCGGTTCAGCGGCCAACTCTTGATTTCGGCTCAGGTCATGACCTTAGGGTTGTGAAATCGAGTCTCACATGAGGCTCTGCACTGAGCGTGGAGCCTGCTTGAGATTCTCTCTCCCTCTCTCTCTCTCTCTCTGTCTCAAAAAATAAATGAAAAGTACTTGCACAACAGCTTTAGAAATGTGTCACTCTGTCAGCTTTGTCAAGGTCAGGACTACAATATAGAACATATGCTCTGTGTCGTGGAATACAGAAGCTTCTCAGCTGCAGCTCCTCTCAAAATACGAGCTTAATGCTTTGCAAATGGAGGCTGTTGAATTGTAATTTGTAGCTTCCACGCCAGAGCGATGAGGTGACTCCCTTGCTGGGGTTTGAGAAAATCGAGAGGATCTGTGCAGTCTCTCAGGTCAGGCACATGAAATACCAACTAAACACAACCAAACCGAAACCCCAGTTCTGGCCGTTGGGCACCTCTCGTTTCCAGTGATGTTTATCCCAAGTCAGACAAGCCTGGGGCCTTCAAAGGAAGACCTCGGCCTCCATGTCTAGATGTCTCCCTCATGCTCATGTCCTGGTAGTTCTGGAACAAGGACGGGGAGCTGCGCAGTAACAGCCCCTTGCCATGTACCGTGCTGATCGGACCCGCAGAACCGGGTGAGAGCAGGCCGTCGGCACGGAGCGTCTTGTAGCGCCGCTGTCCCTCGGTCTGCGGCTCTGGCGTTCATCGCCGCCTCCAGTAGGGGGGCACGCGGGAGGGGAGCTCGCAGGCAGGGTGCTCCTGTCGGTGTCCTGTCCCCGGAGCGTGGAAGGTGTTCAGATACTTGAAGAAAACCTGTGCCAGTTTGTGGAAACAGCTGTGGTTCTTAATTGTCCACCAAGGGGAGAGAGATTGGCACAGGACCACTCTGGTCTGAACACTGACGTGAGTTACGATTTTGCAAGAACAGCTTTCATCAAAATATGCCCAAAATTAGGATTCCTCCCTGGTGCTTTCTGTAGAGCCACAGTGGAAGGAAGGATCTTAGATGGACACAAACAGGATCAGTTAAGTGGGAGAGAGGACTGGCAGGTGCCAGCCCCGTCCTCATTTTATAAGCTCTATTTCTTAATCCCAAAGGTACACAAGAATTTAGCATAAAGGGCAGTAACTCACTGGTGGTGTAAACAGAGCCTTTTTACCTAGGACTCAAAAACCATTAACCATAAAAGAAAAGTAAAGACTACATAGAAATCAAAAAGTTATGAACTGAAAAGGCTTTATTTATTGTTATTTATTATTTTTATTTTTTTTAGAGACAGAGTGTGTATGCACACAGAGGAGAGGGGCAGAGGTAAAGGGAGGGAGAGAATCTTTTTTTTTTTTTTAAGATTTTATTTATTTATGTGACAGAGAGAGAGACAGTGAGAGAGGGAACACAAGCAGGGGGAGTGGGAGAGGGAGAAGCAGGCTTCCTGCGGAGCGGGGAGCCCAATGTGGGACTCGATCCCAGGACCCCGGGATCATGACCTGAGCCAAAGGCAGACACCTAACGACTGAGCCACCCAGGCGCCCCGGAGGGAGAGAATCTTAAGCAGGCTCCACAAGCCCAAGGTGGAGCTCAGTCTCACGACCCTGAGATCATGACCTGAGCCAAAATCCAGAGTTGGATGCTTAACCAACTGAGCCACCTAGGTGCCCCTTGAACTAAAAAGACTTTAAAAAGCCATAAGCATAGACAAACTCAGAAAAAAATCTGGAACTGCTATGACAGGAGGCTGATTTCTCTGATACATAAAGAACTTGTAGAAAGTGAGAAAACGCCTAATAGAAGAACCGGCCAGTCATAAATCACTCAGATGCACATGCCCTTGAGCAAGGAGAAGATATGCAGCTTCACTCCTGAGAGCATGTAAATTGACACTACAGAGACATCATTTTTCTGTATCCTATTAATGCCTCGTAGTGCAGGATTTATTAGCAAAAATCCAAAAGTCAGTGAGGCTGCTGGGAAACCATGCGCTTCCATGCAATGGTGGTGAGCACAAAATGGAAAACAGTTTGCCCTGTCTACTGAAATGATGAGGGCACTTACCTCTCATCCGCCCTTTGCCACTTTTTGGGATTTGCACTGCAGATACACCTGCAGACATCCAAATAGAAGACGAGGTTTGTAGTATCTGAAAAGAAAATGGTATTGGGGCTCGCCAAAGTGGCCACGGGCAGCTCACAGTGGGTCCCCTGACCCCTCGAGGAGCAGAGCATGGAGGGCTTGCAGCGTTTTGTGCAGGAGGGTGGGATATGACCTTCATGCTGGAGCACCGAGACGGTACCCTGAGGGGGTGCGAGGCGGGCGGGAGCAGGTGCCGGGAAGACACCTCTCCACGTGTAAACCCCTGCATGTTGTCTTAATTTTGAATCATGTTGGAATGCCTGCTCAAAAATGAAACAATTGGAGAGGTCTGTTTTCCTAGGGAACAGGAGGGAATGGTGCACTCGCCCGAAGGACTCCTGCTGGCAGAAAGCCTGGTCCAGCGGGGTGGGGCTCGCTGAGGGTTTGAGTGCGGGCCTCTGTGTTCTCATCCACATCCACTGGAGCCACACAGGCTCCTCAGGCCCTGGCATCCTTTGTACTGGGAGGCACAGAACAAGCACAGTCCCTCTTCTAGGTACACAACCTGCTTTAACCTAACATTTGAATACCCAGAGGCCAACACCTGAGTCCGAGCTGTGATGGGCTGAATGACCGTGCCCCCCAAGTTCCTGTGTTGAAGCCCTAACCCCCAGTGTGGCTGTATTTGGAGATGGGGCCTCTGAGGAAGTAATTAAGGTCAAATGAGCTCACCCCCTCCCTGCTCTGCCACTGGGAACAGAGGAAAGGCCACATGAGGACACAGTGAAGCCAGAAACCCAGTCAGCTGACACCTTGATCTTGGACTCTGGCCCCTGGAATTGTGAGAAATAAATACTTTAAGGCCCCCCCGACCCACCGGTGGCATTGTGAATGGCAGCCTGAGCTGGGTCCCCAGTGAAGGACGCCTGGCGAAGTCCAGTCTCCTCGTTTTTGGGGAGGCAGTGACATTGCGGTCCGGTCGTCTGCCCCTCGGGTGCTGGCTGTCCTCGCTGCTGGCCGCGGGGCTGCGTTACCCCACTCCGGAGGCGGGGCGCGGGCTTCTGCTCTGAACGTGTCAGTGAGACAGCTTTGCCTTGTTGGGTGACAGGTTTTCCTGAATGGGATTGTTAAGCTCATAGCATCCACATCGTTTTGCTGAAGCCCAGAAGAACAAAAATAAAAATTAATAGAACTGTAGAGAAACAAAATTATTACTCCTATGTTTGGTCTGTGACTTTTTTTTTAAACCAGAAAAATGTCTATTTATTTAGAGTCAGGAATCTCAACATTGGTGGGGACTTCCTTCTCTGTCACAGGCCCTAGTTAGTTGATTGATCTTTTTAAAGTTATTCAGATAGACTTTCAGAAAACTAAGAGGCAGAGATCAGTGAAATGAGTACTTTCCAGCAAGCCCTTGTTTTCCATTTTCGAAGATAGGGACTGATAAGCACCAAGAGCCTTTCTGGTGTCTGGGCCTCTGGTGGTGACCTTCCGCTTTTTGTTTTAAATACCTGAGAGCCGCACACGAAACCCGTTTTGAGGCCCACCAGAGTGACTGTGGTCAGGCTTGGAGGACCGGACGTGGGGACCGCCCCCGGCATTCTGTCAGCAGAGGCTTTCAGAGCACTTGGAGAGTCTGGGCACCTCTCGCTCCTCCCTCTGAGCCTACTGCGGGCACATCCGCTCCGGCTGCATGAGTGCCGGAGCTCCTGACAGGTCTGCCCTCTCCCACCTGCCACGCAACAGCCACAACGTCAGATGACATCACTCCTCTAGGGCCGCCCAGGCCCCTCATGTCCAGCAGCCCCAGGCCTGCGACTGAGGGCACCATGTGCGCTGGGGCCAGCTGCTGAGAGGCCGCCCATGCCCTTGGGACCCCGTCTGTGACCTGCCCCATGCGTGGGTCTCCGGGGCTGCCTGATCCCTCCCACGATCTCTGCACAGAGCTGCTGGTGGCCCGGGGGCCCTGCTCAGAGGGCCCGGGGGCCCATTTCTTGAGACGCGCCCGTGAGGGGCTGTGGCACCTTCCTGTCAGCCAGGACCCAGCACCCTAGTGCAGGTAAAGGCACTGCTGGCCCGGCCCTGAATGGCTGCACTTTTGACAAGGGGCCAGTGACCTTTCTTCGCTCTGGTGTGTTCTGTAAATAATCTTGTTCAATAACTCAGGGTGCCTGGGTGGCTCAGTCGGTGAAGCATCCCAACTCTTGATTTCAGCTCAGGTCATGATCTCCCCCTGCTTGGGTTCCCTCTCTCGCTGTGTCTCTCTCTGTCAAATAAATAAAATCTTTATTTTTTTTTAAAGATTTTATTTATTTATTTGATAGAGACAGTGAGAGGGAACACAAGCGGGGGCAGA